CACCACAGCTGACACCAGGGACAGCCACCTTTGACTGCCACCTCCCCTCTCCCCCTCCCTGCCACTGCCACCTGGCACCTGCATTTGACATGGCAAACAGCTCCTGAAGGGCACAGCGCAGAGCACAGCAGAGCGGAAAGCCTGGGGAGGGGGGGTTTGCAGCACTGCGGTCAGCACACAGCAGTGTCTCTGGAGTGGCAAAGGCAGAGGTTTTTCTTCTTGGAAGAGATCTGCTAACTCCCCCCAACACTGTCCAGCTAGAGCAGAGCTCTGCCTGGGCCAGGATCCCTCCAGGGAGGGACAGGAGAGCTGGCATGCAGAGGGACTTACTGCTGTCCTGCTTTGCTGTGTGCTGTTGCACCATTCTTTGCTTTGGCTTTGCTCTGCCCTAGAAATTCTCCTTCCCACTTGCTCTAGAGACAAGCCTTTCTCTTGCCCCAGTTTTGCAGAGGCCTGTTTCCTCACTGCCTCAGGCTCAGCCATGACAGCCTCTTGCCACTTGTGCAGGGCCGGGAGGATGCTGTGCTCCGAGCTGGGAGCTGCCTCTGCAGAGGTGATCAGTTAATGTCACTGCTGTATTGATTTGGCATGGACTACAGCATGGGAGAGCAGATTACACGAGTGGCTTCCCAGACTGAAAAGGAGATAAACTATAAACACCAAAACTGCTCTGGCTTCACTGCAGAGCACTTAGAGAAAGTAGGATTTTTACTGAGCTGTATTTGTGTGTAAACCCCCTGTGAGAGCAGCAGATCCATGCCTGGATCCCCACCCCTTGGCGCTGAAGAGCAATGCTGGCAGCTCTCATTGCCTTTATCAGTTTAATGGTTTGCTAAAACACAATTTTCACTGCAGAACAAGGCATTGCTTCTCTGCTCTGAGATGCCTCGTTTTCATCCACATCCTCCAGTACAACCAGTGAGGACAAGGCACTGTAGCTCGCCCTGCAGTGATACAGAGGTAGATTCCACTGCTGAATAAATGACTACATCTTGCCAGGTGTTCTTTCACCAAAGGATCACCAGAAGGTTGGCCAACCTGCAGTAAAAACTACACAGCAACCCCGCATGGTGGGGCAGAAGACAAAATTTCATCCCAGAGAAGGCTGATTTTAAGAAGCTGCGATGACAAGACACCCATGACAGGCTCGTAGCCCTGCACCAACAATGCAGACATCCCATGGGTGCCCTGGACCCAATGTGTATGCCCCAACACAGCCCCTCGCAATGCACATGGTTTGTCTGGCCACCACAGTGTGACTCCCCCCAGGGAAATGTCTCCAGCCTGGCTTAGCTGTCACCACACAAGCCCGTGGCCAAGCTGGGACAGGCAAAACTGCTTAAAATATAGACATGAACCAAAGAAGCTCAGCACCAGTGTGCTGCAACTGAGTTAGCAAAGCTCAGCATGAGACTGCAACTGAACAGGAAGGCAATTTATTCAATAAAAATAAATTTAAAATGAATCTGGTTTCACTGCCTCCTGGATTCACTTATTTTCTCGTGCCCCAAACTCACATGCACCACAAGATGTACAGCCAGCAGTGTTTGTGTGTGACACATCCTACAGGACCCCTCATCTCCTGGGCTTTGTTACTGGTCGCCACAGAGGCATTTGGGATGCACCTTCTGTGCTCTCCAGGAGCTGCCAGCAACACTGATCTTCCACCTCATTGACCTGTCCTGCCTCAAGATCATTAGGCAGCACAGCTGATTTACAGCTATGGAATGATTTAAATTACATGGGACCTTGAGAGTCTCACCTCCTGTCCTGAAGTAAGCTGCCCAATGGTTTTCCACCCTAAGCCTTCTCAGAAGCTGGCATCTCAATGACCTTCTGGGTTAGGTGCCATCAACCCACGCCAGTCTTGTATCCCTTCTTCTGCCATTCCCTCTGCTGCTTCCATGTGTACCGTACCATTCCATTTATCTAAACTCTTTCTTACCTCTCTCTACAGGAGACACATGGGACACTGCCTGCTCATGAGCAGCAGTCCCCAGACTCACCGCTTCTGCAGGACAAAGTGAGAGGACAAAGAAGTGTTTGTGCCATTTCCCAAGGCATAAACATTTCAGCAAGACCTCTGTAGCAAGGACCAAGCAAATGAACACTGCAGAGCACAGAGAACCACGAACCACACGTGGGAAGTTGGAGACGACGGGACCTGCAGGTTGAGCAGGCACCTGGGGTAACCCAAGTGTGATCCCCGCAGCAAGACCCCCACAACATCCTGACGCATGGTGATTTGCAGGAGAGAAGTGATTCTTTCAGCCTATACCTGAGCTGGTAGCTTTAGAGTCCAGGTAGCTGTAGAGGGGGCAGTGCTAAAGTCAGATTCCATGGCAGGGTGCAGTAGCACCTAGAAGTTGGCCATAGCTTAGGCACACAACTGTCAGTGAATGGCCTGATCCTGCCATCAGGACCTGATCATCCTTGTACAGCAGGGACAGGTTCACCCATCCTCAACATGGGTCTGTTGGAGCATCACCCTGGTGCCCCCAAAGGCAGCAGTACCCCAGCACAAGCAGAAGGGAGAAACCGGGTGACACCCCACACTTGAGAAGGCCCCATGGACACCCTTCCCCACTGCGCCCATGGCCTGGGGCAACACCACAAAGCCAACACCAAGCAGACACAACACCTCTCTGAAAAGGCCTTGGAGTGAGCTGCTCCATTGAGGGTGATACACAGATGATGGGGGAAACTCTCGTCAAACAGTTCATGCAATCAAGCCTCTGACTTTCCTTCTGGCAGATGGAGGGTCCGAAGCTGTAAAACATCACGTTCTTTCACAATCACTTCCCCACGAGAATTAACGCCCATTTTCAGCCCATTACTAAGTAGTATGGCCGAGTTACACCATCTCTAAATGAAACACTTGTTTGCTTTGTGCACTTTCTCTGGAGACAAGTAATCTCCTCTGTCTAGTGCCATTTCATTAAGCTAAACTAGTTCATCTTTTACTGCTCAGGCCATAGTTGACAATGAATGGACTCAATAAAAAAATACCACAGTCACACAACACAAGATGCCAACCCAGCACAAATTCACTCTTTTGGATCCACTTTCCTCTAAAACCTGGAGTTAACGATGTGTTTGTGGGTGCAGTGTCAGGTGCCACCTGCCCTCCTGCGCATGGTGCAAGCAGAGTATGGCAACTCTGGTCAGCATGAAGTCTTGCATATATGCTGGGGCCAAGGTGCCACCGTGTGCCTATGTCTGATCCAGATAAATTTGCACTGCTGGCTAATCCAACAGAGGCCACTAGAGCCACAGTCTTGGTCTCTCCTGCCTCCATCCTGACATGCTCTGTAATCCTGGGATGTCCAAGACAATTGCATAGCTCTGACTTCAGAAAATCAGTAAAAGCATGTCCTATTTTCACAAAGTACACATTATTTAGGAATTCAAGCCCTGGTTTCAAAAGCAGCTGGAGACCATGGGTAACCTTGTTTTATAAGACCTCAGGTCATCAGCAGTCAAATGCTTCTGAGTTAACCTGAGACCTGTGAATATTCCCTAGGCTGTATGAGGGGTGTATGAAGCTCAGTCATCTCCCCTGTCCCCAGCTCCCCTTCAACGTCCTTTCCCTCAGCACCACCTGAGTGCTTTGCACTGCCTTCCTGGGTCACGCCTGCCTGCTGCTTCCCCAAGGAAATTTTCTTTTGGCACCTTCTGCCAAGTCGTTGGCCTTGCCATGACCCCATTGACTGCGCTCTCTCTGTTGGTGTTCTCAAAGTCTTTGCACTAGCACCCACCACAGACATCAGAGATGTGTTTGTGACCTGCTTCACTTTCCAGCTGCCTCAGGCCAGGACTCAAGCAGTGCCCAGCAGGGACATCTGGAGGATTCAGACTTTCTCACTGCAACCAGCTGCTCCTGAGAGAGAAAAGCCTCTCTGCAAGATACTCCAACACTTCTTTCATCAAATATTTCTAAGCTATTTCTTGACTTTGAGGGAGTGGGAGGGCGGGTACTCAGAATTGTAGGGTAATCCAGGCTGGAAGGCACTTCAGGAGGTCATGCAGCCCAACCTCCAGCTCAAAGCAGAGCTGGTGACTTCCAGTTTCTAGTGCATGCTGTTGGACCCACGGACAAGCCCCATGTCCCTCAACCCCCATCTCTTGTAGAGCCAACACACTCCACCCCACCATGGCTGCAGACAGAAGCGCGAGCAGCACAACCATTCATCACAACTGAGCATAATGCAGCCTCAGGACCACTAGGGTGGAGAGAGGTGCACCCCATCTCTACCTCTACCCCTCGGATAACCCTGCTAAGAAGACCATCAAAAGAAGGTGCTAGTTATTGGTGGTTTCATGGGAACAAGAGGAAGAGTTCTGTCAGCCCTTCAAAAGTCTAACTTTTCCTGGACTGCGAGGCCACATCGATGCCCAGTGGAGGGGCAACCACAGCCCCAACAGGGAAGAACATTTCCAGAAGGCTGCAGGCCTGCACAGTACTCTCTGAAAGACCACCTGTCTTCTTAGATAAAGTGAAATTTTAGGTGAGTTACCCAGCTGCATCAGTAAGCCTTGGTCTCATTTACGAGTGCCTCAAGTATCCTTCCAGGCACTGCAGAAACACACAGAGACTTCAGGTTTCTGAACACATTGCAGGCAAATGTTCTACCCCCAAAGCTGGCACTTCAGAGGGTATTTTTGCTCCAGTCAAAATCACCTTTAGTGAGATGCTTAACATGGATGTGTAGCAACCAACCCGCCTGTTCATCCACGCAGATGCTCAGACTTGCACGTAAGGATGAAACTGATGCACACTGCCCTCCCCTCCACAGCTCCCTCTGCACATACTTATGTCATAGGTCTTTCAGGCTGGCTTTTTCACTGATCTGTTCAGAAATGTGCTGCATTACTTTGCCCAATATTTGCACAACAGAACTTGATTGCTCTAAAGCCAAGCACAGCCCTCCTCTCCCATCACCTCCTGGGATCCTCAACTGCCTCCAGCCGCTTCCCGGTGCCACAGGGCAGATACTCACCTGAGTTTTCCTTATCCGCAGGTCAGCAGATGACCTGTTCAGTCCTTCCTCTTGTTCAATACTCTGCTCAATACCTGGTCAGGGTAGAAGGACACAGATAATTTCACACTGTTTAGAGAAGGAAAAGGGATTGTTTGGCAAAGGGACTGCGAATCGAGGAGCATCTGGCATTAAGCAGTCCCTAGCTCCTGACTCTAGCCCACAATTTAGCCTGAGCTGGCAGCAAAGCTCCATTTCATTACTGCAAAGCACTCAGTGCCTGGCCACCGGCCAAGACTTGGTGCTGTTAAGGGCAGCACCCGTCACCCCTAGGCTGGTAAGCAAGGATTTCAATACAAAATTGATGTAATGCTCGGGTCTGATCTCTGCACTTTCCAGTATTCGAACAAAATGGAGGGCTGTTGTCCCTCTGCTAGGCAGGAGGAGGAAACCCAGAGCTAAAATGTCTCTGCAAAATACCAAAGCTCCAGATTTCTTCAGGGACCCTAAAAATAGCAGATCTGCCAGCTGCCCGGCCTTGCACAGGGTGGACCCACCAGGCTGGCAAGAGCGTGCTTCATCTTGCTGAACAGTCCTCTACAGCAAAGCAGAGATCTTCCCTTTTAATTATGCCCAGTAGTGCAACTAAGTGACATTAATTCCACATTTGCCTAAAGACCATAAATCACAGCAGGGAGGAGGGCTGCCCTGCTCAGTGTCCCACCATGGTTTGGGCAGGGAGAGGGCACGGGGTTGCAGGGCAGGAGGTCTGGCACAGAGCAAGGCAGTGCAAATCTGCTCCTCAAGGCCACTCAGGACATGCTAATTCAAAAACTTAAATTCAAGGACTTAAAAAGCCTGGAAGAAAGCTCCCATCAGCAGGCTGGCCCAGTGTGCAGAGATACATGTCTCCATGTAGACCACCAGGTGTGAGCTGGCAGCATCCCTTGAGTTTGGCTGAAGACCCCATTCCCAATGCAGATGTTACACAGCTCTCTGAGCCTGGCTGTCCCCAGCACCTTCCACACTGGAGCAGGTCCCACGAGCCTAGCATGGCGCAGGTTCCTCCTGCAGCAGGGGCTCCCCATTCCCTGAAGCTGCCCAGTGGCTCCCTATCACCATCCAGCACAGCAGGGCAGAGGGCAGGCCACCGCCACGGTGGGCATCTGTGTTCCTGCTGCATGCTGGTTAGCATGAATGGCCCCACAGCACCACCTTCCAGAGAGCAGCAGCGCTGTAAGGAAGACTGTGGGCCTGGGAAACCCTTCGCAGTGCTGGCAGAGTCTGTCCAACAGCACAGCATGCTCCAAGGAAGTGCTGGAGAACATCAGCACAAATTCTGTACTCCCTCCTATTGTCTCATGGAACAAGTGTCTGTATCTAGAGCTTATCTGAAAGGTCCCATCCCACACAGCCAAGCGGCCATGGCACTTCTCCTGTGCACCCCTTTGCCTGTGAGCACACTGGGTGCTGCCTGCCCAGCATATTTCATCAGCAGTCTTCCTCCACACTTGTCATAAACTGTTCCCTGTTCCCAAGGAACAGTATTGGCAAACATTGTGCATTTATGATAACTAATAAAACCACATTTTTCCAAGAAGCTGGTAATTAGAATTAGCCACTGCATGAGCAATGTCTGTCATAAAGAAGTCAATTCATTGTCAGCAGATGGTGTTTTTGATCAGTCCTGACTGTTTTCTTTCATTGATCATGCTGGCCATGAGGCGATTTGGGACAAAGCACAAGGACTAATCATCTGTTGTTCCAGGTAAATACGACACCAGTGAGTCTTTTCTGGAAGAAGAAAACAGGAATCAGAGCCTGTCCTGCAATCCTTCAGCTCTCAAAGCTCCTTAAAAACCACAGAACAAAACACCTATGGAAAAGGAGTTTTGTTTTGCATAGGCTAAACCCTGTCCCCACCTGGACACCAGGGATCTCAGTATGGCCGGCGGGGCTCTGGTCCATAGGAAGGGATCCCCTGGTCTATGAAATGGGTAAGCTGGCCCCTAGCTCTCCTTCCTCAGTCTAGCTGATATCATGTGTCAGGAGGACAGAGGGCAGCAAGGTGACAATGGAGGTACAAGTCTCCTTTTGGCATACACATGGGACATGGCCATGCCAGTGGTGACGAACCTAACGGCTCCAGCTGTATCTAAGTCCTCCATGACTGGCAGGGCTCCCATGAAACCCTGGGATTAGGGAGAACACTGCTGCCATGGGGGAAGCACCAGATCCTCTCCCACCCTTTGGACGTAGCCGGGTCTCCTGCAACAATCTCAACCAAATCCCACGCTGATGTCCAAGACCACTGCAGGCAAATCCAAGCCATGCCAGCGTGATCTGCCTCCTGCCTCAAGATGCCGCCGTCCTCACTGACTCCCTGAATCCTCTGGGGTCCAATCTTGGGCTTTTGAGACCATCTGATTGCTCCAGCACAAACCTAGCCAGGGTTGTTCTCAACTCCCTGCTTGTCGAAGAGATTGATTGACTCTTCCAATGGTGGAAACTAACAGTCATGCTGGTTGTGCTCTGTCCCTGCACTCCCAAGGTGGAGGCATGCCAAAGACAATGGGGCATGCTGAGGAGACAGGATAACATTCCTCGTGCCCAATGCCCCCTTTTTCCCCACCGCCTGAACCACAGAGCCCATGTCTGGGGGCAGTGGTGCCTCCTTCCCATCCCGGCTACGCTGCTAGCACAGCCACCAGCAATGCAGCCTGCACTGGGGATGGAAAAGCAAGACCAGCCTGGCGGAAGCAGGATGGGGACGGCAAGAAGCACAAGCCCCAGGGCAGAACACCACATGCCAGCACACTGCCGGAGAGGTGGCAGCACCACCCAGCCCAGTTGGAGCTGCACAGGGAAGAGGGACCCCTTGGTGCTGCACCTGTCTAGGCTGCCCCTGCCAACCTGGCTCACCAGGGAAGAGCCAGCTCTTCTTGGAGGCTTGCAAGTCCCAGAGCAGCACCTCTTCAAACACTCAGCTCTGGCAAACCAACCTTTGCCCACGCCGTGGGTTTGCTCAGAGCCAGGGCTCACCAGGAGAGCCCAACACCTGCCAGTGCTGGCGGCATGGGACTTGCTTGCAGCCCACCAGCTGCTCATGGCCCCGTTCCTTCACCTCCATCCTGGGAATGGGGCACAAGGGGGCAAATTCACAAGGGGCAAATTCACAAAGGGCAAATAAAAGCAGCTAGAGGATGCTAGGAGGAGGGAAGGTGACACCCATCCCCCGGTGTTCCCTGCAAAGCAACGGCAGATACTATTTCTGGCTGTCCCTTCCCCCAGCTCTGTGACCCCTCCCAGTGCCAGCTCAGGTTGACAGAGGATGCACAAACGGGCTGGGCTGTGCATCTGTAACCTGCCCTTTCCTACTGTCCTGGTTTCGGCTGGGATAGAGTCAATTTTCTTCC